ACAAACAAAAATGGTGGCGATCAGACCTCTCGGCAAGGTTTTATTAATTTTGGTGTTTTTATCCCACCACACCCTCCTGAGAGGTTTTTTTTGTTTTTGTTTTTTTTCCTCCATCTTCCCGTTGTCCTAGGCTAGCCATCTTTGGAGTTTCTACACTTTTTTGTTTTTGTTTTTTTTGTTCCCCTAGGCTTTGGACTGAACCAGCACTTCTATCACACCTCGCTCTGGTTTTTTCTGGCCATCCTCTTTCGAGTGGTCCTCAGTGTAATTGAAGCTCTACTCAACAGTCTGATACCTTTTTTTAGGTTTTTATTATATTACAAGTTAACATAACCTCGTGGAGTTTTCAAGTTATGTTAGCAGGGTACGTTGAGAGTTGGTGTAACCCCCACGTTTTTGCTGCACATAACAAACCCCTCTCGCAGTACGTTTTAATACCACTTCAAGCGAACTTTATATTTAACTCCAATTCAATTTTTTCTTTAATTTGGAATGCAATTTTTGTCCCCTATAAGGGTTTTTTTCCTTATTATAATGTCTGTTCTATGCAATGTCAGAGGTAAATTGGTTTAAAAATAAATTTCTTATATACTATTATAGATGTATTGTGAAGTGCTTCATTTCGAGTTTATACAAGATGGCCACATTGAATGTCCATTTTGTAATAAAAAATTGGTTGAAACTAAAAGTGTTCAAAAACCCCGTTGCGATAGTCCAGGTTTAATAAATGATACCTATAAGGTGTGTAAAAATTGCGGCACAGTAAGTGGTCATTTAATCGCCACTGAATTTGTGGATTTTTATGAAAATAGGTAAAAAATAGGAAAACAATCTATCTATCACCGAAAATATTATATTGAGAATGTTCTTAATGCATTATGTCAAAAGCATGGCATTGAAATTAGTTATGCTACATGGGACATATTACATTTTCAAATTGATTGATCAAGTGTTACCACAACTTCACAATGGCCGTAAGCGTATGATAAATATTGGGTTTATTTTGAGGCAGTTATTTCAAGCTTAGGAATGGAATATAAATTTATCCCACTCTCGAAATCAAAAAGACATTGAAATATTATAATCAATGGTGGAACACTGTTTTTGTTTTAATTAAGGATGATATTCACAAAATTATCAACAAGTGAGCCCTTGGGCGATTCCTAGAAAGCAGGAAGTCATATAACGGGGAATCCCCCTTTGTATGACCTTAAATAAAGTTTACTTAGATGTGAATTTTTTGTAATCCCATTCACCACCCCTCATTGCTTCTCTGAGATTGGTTAAGACTTTTTCATACGATGTGTTGCTGAATTTTAGTAAATCGGTTATACCCCATGTTTCTTAATTCATGATAAGTTTTTAGTAGTATACCGGCAGTTGTTAAAGTACCTAGCGCAATTGGGTTCAATGTTATACCATCTGTTATTACCCCTACGCTGGCGAGCAAAACACTTGACATATTCACAGCTAATTTATTTTTTGGTTTCTTTTTTGAGAATTTTTATATATGCGTAGAGATCCTTGATTTGCTTTAATTTTTCTACATCGGTATTTGAATCAATGTGACTGAAGTGGAATATATCCTTTTTAGTCGTTATACAGTTATGTTATATATTTTTTTAACCTTGTAAAAGTGGTAATTTGCTTACGAGGTGACTTCAAACAAAGCCATCAAATCAGCGTTGCTTATTGGGACCTTGAGGTCCGGGTTGTTATTCTTATTATAACGCCAAAGTGAAAATATAGATTTGGAGACAAAACCTGATATGCCAACTTATTTCCTGCGTAAGAGTATGATCTAGAACGTTGAGTTGCAATATCCAAGCTATCTATGATAAACCACAAATTATCCTTAAATCCCAATTCTGAAGTGTGAAAATAGAGCTTTGCCAATTTACATTTGACAGGGGTTATTATAACGCCCGTTCCTCCAAAAAATACGTATTTGTCGTCACTCTTTTTTTGAAATAATTGCCGGGAAGAGGAAACATTGACGGTTTCATGGAAGTGGAGTTAATAAATCTTTTACCATTCACATCAATATCAACATTCAACACCAGTTTATCCGGTTTGATATCAAAAGCGGTATGATAATAATATACTGGTTGTTTTTCCAAATACACCATAATCAATCATCCAGTTGCGCGTTAATTGTTGTGGATATGTGTCCAGATCGTTTCCAACTTGGGGAATATCAACAAGCACATGCAGACTGTAAAGCGAATCTAGAGCTGTTCATGTTTTTTTTGGAAATTAATGATCATTCGGATATAATACATGTATTCAACGCTACCATCGTTATTTGTGTATCGGTGAGAGAATTTTTTGATTATTGTATTTTGTATTGTCAAGCCTTGTGATGAGCTTTTATAAACAGTAACAACTGATTTATGCCACAATTGATAATCTGCATTCAATATTTCAATACACAAACTGTAATCTTTGTTTTTATCAAGCGGAAAATGTTGTATCCCAATTTTGTATTTGTAACTCTGGC